AATGGTAGAGCCAACACAACGACAATACCAGACCTCGCAATGCTCATGCAAAACCCAGAATTCGCGAAGGGATTCTCGGCGTTGTTGGCACAGACCATGCCGGGAACCTCGAGAGTCGCGCCAGGACAATCACTTGCACCCATCACCCCAACAAGGCCCGTGGTGCAACCGTTACAAGGGGGCGGTGAAAATGTATATTGTATATTAGTTAATATGTATATTAATGAACAATTCACTAATTTATTATATAATATATATATATGAGTGTCACAATATAAAAATATATTTATTGAAATAAAGTATATTTTTTAAGAAAAAAAATACATTTATTATTATCATAAATAAAAAAATAACATTAATATAAATATTATTTTTTTCTATAAAATAGTGATAAATGGTAATATAAGATGATAATGTAATTCCATTCAGGTCTTATTCTTTCTGTGTACCAAACATATCAATGGAAAACCTTATTTCATTCATTTCCAATATTCATTCTATTCCTATTAAATTACATTCCATTATACCAATCACACATAAGTGCTTTTATTTTCAATGTGGTTGAGTAGTTGTTAATTGTATTTCTTATTAAGTAGTTGTTAACTATAATTACTATTTTTCTTATTAAGTGGTTGTTTTTTTTTTTTTTGGTTAAGTAATAAGTGGTTGTTAATTGTGTTTTTCATTAATTAAAAAATATGTTATTTTTTACTTGTTATGTATTGTTCGCTCTATAGCAAAACTATATTATTATATTACTAGTACAACACCCGTGTATTACACGGGTGCTTGTTAATAAATTATTCTTAAATTTTAAAATTAATGAGAAAACTATATTAAATTTAATTTACTTTTTTACAAAAAAAATATATCATTATATATTTTACAATGATATGTGTTACTTATGACTTATATGTGTTATATTATACTCCCTCCTATTTTTTTTAAATGTCATTCTAGTTTTATCAACTATTTGCTAAATAAATGTCGTTTTGGATGTTTTGTACATATTTTTTCATTATTACCTCATTTAGCTAATAAATACATTACATCTTTTCATATTCACTCTTTACTTTTTCTCAAAACATTCATCTCTATCTTCATTAAATAAGGGTATTATTGACAAAAAATATATTCTTAATTAATGTGCAACTTCTCAAAACGACATCTATTAAAAATAGGAGGTAGTATTAGTTTTTATAACTTATATCATATAACTACTTGAAATATAAATATATTAGTTGATAAATAATTTTATTTTTCTAATTAATATTAAAAATAATTTTATTATTGTTATAAAGATAAATATAAATTATTTTTTTTTATACATACAATATGGATGTTAAATCGAAGCTCGTCAAAAAGAAGATTAATTTGATATATTACATATGTAAAACTGATAAAAAATACAAAAGTTATTAACTTTTATAATATATATACAGGAATGATATTAATATGCAATTAATACATGTAACATGACCATAAATAATCAACATATTTATGGTAATCCGAACCTAATTATTTTTTGTTTTGAATTAAATTAAAATTTACCCAAGCCTAATAACAAAGCATGTAATTTTGCCACATAGGATTCCGAAGCACCAGAAGCAGCCACGTAGGCGCGTTCTGGATTAATATATAGGGGGGATGAGCATCACCAATTCATACGAGTTTTTGTTGAATTGTTATTATTATGTCTCCGAATACATGGAATTTGGAAACTATAATCCCTCCCGTTACATCACCTTCACCTCCGAAGACCAGCACCTCCGCGTGGCCGTCCTTGATTCTTCCTATTCCTCCTCCGCCACAGCCGCCATATGGGTCCCACCTGGCCGCGAGCGAGTCCTACTGGTGTTCTCCACTTTCTCCGGCCACCTCCAGCTCCTCCTCCACCGCCGAGCCTAGAGGTGGCCACGGGCCACCCAACATATATCCAACCGGGACCCTGCCCAGTCAAGCTCATTGACCACAAGACTTTCTTTTTCTAGCTAGCATGTATCTGTAGTCTCCCACCATTGCTTCTTTGTTGCCTTAAGGTCTCGAATTTTAACCGGGCCGGTCCAGGGCCTTGTTTTTTCGACCCTGGCCCAGCGGGCCGAGCCGGGCCCTCACTTTTTCTATTATTTTTACTTTTTTCTATTTTTTTTTAACAAAATGACCGACCCAGCCCTGTTAACCGGGCCATTGACCCGACACGAGGGTCCATGTTTACGAGCCAGGAGGCCCGGCGGGCGGCCCGTGTTTTGGCCATGTCTAACCTAAAAGAAAAATCTAAATAAGTCACATAAATTTTTAGATTATATACCTATAAAAAAATACTCAAACAAAATGGACATTTTGAAACACGATTTTACATTTTACAGTGTGCAATTCTCTCAATTAATGTAAGCAACGTCTCCGGAAAGACTTGTTTTCGAACACGACACCATTATTTGATGTGGACACAATCAATCACTCTCAATGAAAGCACCAATGATGAAGGATCGTGTGTTGCGTTCCCTTGACTTGTCTCGAAAACAGTAAGGGCAATAAGGGCGAGGTTCAAAGGAGGAAAGGCTTACGGTGGATACCTAGGCACCCAGAGACGAGGAAGGGCGTAGACTTGCTTTTTCCAATATTTTATCACCAACGACGGAACAAGAATGAGACTCCTTTGGATTGTAACTTTCCAGGTATTCACTGCCAACAACTTATTTTCGCATGCTCCGTACACAAGATGCTAGAACAATCGATGATCTAAGTGAAATATTTTCGATAAAGTTCCTTAGCTATGGCAAAAGCATCCCCCTCAGCCTTTACCGGGTAAAGCTCGAAACCAGCTTGCCACTTGTTAGAGAATGCAATCCACTCTTTTCTCCATTCATCCACCTTAAAATCTTCACTGTCTTTCAAACTTCTCAACAGTCGTGCAAAATACAACGATGCACGTGGAAGATAGTAATGCTCTAATAGGCCGCTCCAAAACTTATTTGCTGATGAGGAAAAGGAAGAACAAGAAAAACCCGAGAGTATCAATGTACCGAAAGAAAATTCGGAAGTAATTATGGAAACAAATTCTCTTACCATAATCATGAAGCTTGCTCTGCATATTCTTGGTGTTGTCGTACCACATTGTTACTTGTGTGCGTGCATTCCACTCGTACTGAATCGAATACGGATAGTTCAGATAAAAAAAAATCCAACTCTCTATCATGTTTAAACTTTGAAGATCGTTTAGGTTCTTGAAACTTACTTAAAAAAGAAATTTAGTTGCTTTTCGAATTAACAAGCAACCAACCACTTACGGTATCTAACTATATCTATATATGAACACATGTTTGTATTTGCATAAAAAGTACGTCTCTAAATAGCGAGAAAAATAGAACTAAATATAAAAGGAATTAATAAAAGGAAGAATAATATTCTCACCTGTCTAGTCTCATCTGGATTCAATGCCCTTTTTTTGGCACTTTCAAGCCAGGTGCCGAGTAGGAAATTATCGTCTGCAGCAAGAAGCCTATCTATGTCTTTGATAAGTTGTAAGAACTTGAGGCTACTAGAATTTAATGAGTTCGCGTCCTTTTTCCAGAACGCATGTACTGCTTTCAGATACACCTCGTTCGCAAGCTTCGAGAGTGACTGTCTAGTCAGGTCAACCAAATCATACCTGCAACAGTCTCCGGTGAATCGATATTGCAAATATACTACAAGTACTTGAAAGGAGTAGAATGAAATTTGTATGTGTCAGTTTCGATTTTATTCAAGCAGGCACCTCGGAATCTGGTAACTCAACACTAAAAAGGGCAAAATTGTAATTTTTAGTTTTACCTGTACGTGGGAAGTTCAGCAAGTTGGTTTCCAGCAGCAAGGAATAGCTTCAAAGCATGGACAGCATCGTTATTTTCGTACCACATGTGAGGACGAGGCAAGGACGATCTTGTCTCGTGAAGAAAGAACCTTCTCGGTTTTTGTGTATCCAAAAATTTATGCCTCTGAATTATATCAGGCTTATCAAGTTGGTTATTTGCTGATGGATCCCAATCAGGAAATTTAACTATGTAATCTGTGTTATGGTCCTGCATGAAGTTGGTTCAGAAACAAATCAGTTTCAATGAAATTTTTGTTAACAGAAACAGCCATCTTGTCGATAAACTGGAAATGACATAAATGTCGTCGACTTAGAGCACTAATACAAATATGTGTAACGGGAGAAATCCATGATTTTGCAACAAAAACCACTTAAATAGCAAGGTTTACTGGGCAAATCTCTCAAACACATCACAATTGGAAAAACTCTAGAAAAAGTACCGCAATTCCATCAGTGCAGTTATATATTGTTCGATGAAGAATTTTCCAAGCAGCTTCTACTTCCTGTACATTTTTACCATACCGTCTACGAGAATAGGTTGTCAGCCATTCCTGCAAGTTCAGGCAAGTCTTTAGCAGCTAAGCAGAACCGTAAAAATCTCTAGGGCGAAGCGAATAATGAAATATGTATTCTAAGGGAATGAAAAATAAGTAGGAGTAATTTCTTCTACCTGAAGCTGAAAAGAACCACTTCTAAATGCCATTTCAGACATCAGCTCGTATACAACAGGATTATGTTCTATGCCTTCCATACACATGCCAACACCAACCTGTCCAGAAAAACGATAGCATCACACAAAGAAAACATGTATAGTTGCAACTTTTGACCAAATTCAATATCTTTTTAGGCCTCTGGATTCATGTTTTTCTAAACTTCCTCAATATATCTTCTGGAGCGTTCTTCATGCCATTGTTTCACTTGATAACTTTGGACCATGAGAAGTTTCGAAATAAACAATGTCAGATACATATCCGCTCTGGTCGGGCTCAGGTTCGGGAAGGTCAGATTGCTTTTTAGAGTACAGCATGTGTGTAACACATACCCGTGTCAAGGTTTTTGATTTAAAATTTTGTTGGAAGATATGTTTACAGTACATGATTTACAAATGATGCAATCAGAAGTTTTAACCTTATATTGGTCCAATAGCAGAAACAATAATCAACTGAAACTTTTGACATCAAAACACCCTACCATTGTAGAATTCTTGCTGACACGGGCATCAATAGGTCCTGAAGCCACAGTATCTAATATGCCATACATCTCGATATTCCCACCGAAGTTGTGCAACATACACCTGTTACATAACAGATGTCAAGAAGTTGCAACGTTTTCTCACTGAATATAATAAAGTATAATGAGTTGGTCACATGCCATATATAAGGTGTATGGTAAAACTGAGAAGAAGACTTCCAAATTGGTTTGACATCAGCAAAAAGATCGAGCACAATCATCTTCCCAAATGGAACAGAATGTAGAAGTGCCTGCAAGGAAGTAATTAGGTTGACACTGCAACTCAACTTCATAAAAATCATTGAACATGCATGATTATAAAGTAAGACAACCCAATAATTTAGGAATCATAAAAAGAACAGAATACAAACTTAAGACGACCAGCAAAACCATAACTAGTATGTCAAGGAAAGAACCTGTGAAAAATTCCCATGCTGCTAATTAAAGAGAAAATTCACTAGTGATGAGCACAGACATAAAGCAATAGATAAGTGATGCACAAACAACTCAAGTAGATCGCGTCCTGTTCAAGTGTGTATTTAACGTATCTATGGAGTCTAGTCCTTAAAAATCATCACTAAGTTCTTCCAAACGCCTGCTGGAATAGCTCATATTGTTTCTTATAATATTTGTTTCAAGATTCCTTGCTAAAGTACTCTCTCCCTCCTATAATCTGCAGGCGAGTTGGAAACAATAATTGATTCAAAACACATATTGATATTCAATATCAAACTATATTAGTAATCCTATACGGCTAGGCTGAAAGGCCTGAAACAGTTTGGATATGCAATATGCATACAGCTTGTAATTCAACTATTCAACAAAAAAATACTTGTTTCATATTTTTTTGTAGTTGGCTATAGTTGTACATTTTTTGGATACTATAACCAGTGGAAAAAACACATTGAAACGAAGTCTTTCAGTCATGAAGTTATTGTGAAGGCATATTCTTGCTCTCGACTCTCAGTACCACCTCACCTTCGTCTGTGGTGGTTTCCAAAATGATGAATCCGAATAGAATAGCCAGCCCTGAAACCGAGCAAATGGTTAAGACACCCCAGCTCGGAGAATATAAAATATACCAAGCTAACACTTGCAAGAAGGATAAGCATGAGTTGATTAGGAAGGATAAATATATATAAACGCAAATCAGTTACCATGTGTTGATTATAGAATGTCCATTGACATAGTTATCAAAGACGCTCTTGAGGTACCAGGTACTGACTCAGAGACCCAATGACAGGCCCTGTTCAAGAGACCTGTACATGGGCATACGCCCATAAAACGCTTGTTGTTGAACAAATGCTATTTTATCGCTAACACTTTTTTAGATTTCTTACCATTGTTTGCGCTGATTATTGGTTTTAATGTGAACATTAATTATAAAAATAAAAAATTTGCACGAAAAATTAACAAACAAAGGTTTGTTGTATCAAAGAACAGGTAATGATAGACATGCCTAACCAGGGAGGATGAGAAAAAAGCTCAGTTAAATCATACTTGCATTAGCCACACAGCATCATTGTTGGCTTTAGACATTGCCTCATATACTGCAGAACCAAGAGATGAGATATAAGCTGGGTCACTCGTAGGTGGGGAGTTCTCATTGAATGTATCACTGCAGTGCAGCCACAATAATTTTATCAAATATATACATTTATATATGTATGTATATGTATATGGGCTGGAAAAAAAAAAAAAANNAAAAAAAAAAAAAAAAAAAAGAGCATATAATTGCTTTTAATTTTGAAAACACCATCCAGACCATATCCAAATCCATCAAAGTTCAGTTTTCTAGATACTGTCGTGAATTACTAACTAATTCCACTAAATCACCAAAGAAATAAATTTATGTCGGATCTTCTATTTGGCAAATGGTTTTGGTGAAGGTGTAAAGCTTCTGTTCTGTTCACTAAAACTGGTTCAGGTGGTGATAGCTAGTACACTCCCAGTCAGTCAAATAATATACCGATATTCTAGTGTTAAACAACTGATGCACAGATGGATTTTATTTACATTTCGCTCTATCAGACATCTACAGTTAACCGTAACCTAATCGCTTCCAGTTATCTCAGTTTAATATCCCAAAAAGGAAGGTAAAATGCAATGACTTGATGCATGAAAGAATATATTTATCATTTGTTTATGTTATGTAATGCTAGGGATTCATGCATTCTTGGCTTACCATTTAAAATTCTTTAAGGCTCCGTTTGGGTTGAAGGATTTATTGAGGGATTTGAAATCTATAAATTTTAAATGTATAAGTTCAATCCCCATGCAAGTTGGGATGGTAATAGAAGTTGGAGGATTTCAAATTCATGCTAGATATTTTTTAGTCATTATTTTGAAGGATTTTAAATGACTCCTCAAACCTAGTCATTTAAAATCCACTATTCATCACCATTGACGACCACGCCGTCGTCCGCGATCATTTAGGTTCATCACCACCGCGAGTCAACACCATCGGAGCGAGCCAGACAATAGATTTATAATATTTTCAACACATCCGGAGTGTGCAACTAAAAAATTTATATTTCAAAAATTTTGAAATCAAGGGTCCCTCAAAACAAACGTAGCCTAACAGAGAATAATGCTACAGTATCATGGTGCACTGTGTTACTTAAGGATACGGAAGGAATATGAGCTAACTGCCAGACAACTGCACATACAGGATTCTTTACTTTGAATAAGGTGAGTTAAGATAATCAAAGCTAAAAGAACCTCTCCATAAAACTATGCCGAAAAGAAAATTAGGCAAATATTGAATACGAACAAACTACCAGCTGTAAATGTCCGTGACATCACCGTATTCTGCAATAGACAAAGAAACAGAAAGTAGTATAAAAATAGTAGACATTGGATAATAAAGAAATATATAGCAACATAAGAAAAATAAGGTGTCAATGAGAGAGCGTAAGGAAAGGAACCTAAAAAGATCAACTAACAAAAAATAAAATGTGGAGATCACCAATGAATAATATGAGAGGGCATTAATGACCAAATTTGAAAGTGGAAAAGAAGTAAATGCAAAAGGATACAAAGAAGTGAGGGAAAAGTGTATATGCCCACTTATATAAGTAAAACGGCCACTTCCAAAAAAATCTAACATGTTCATGTCCAGTAGTTCTTGCTGTCAAACAAGATTATGAAACAAAAGATGCTGAGATGAGATCATAACACTGATTAACAAGGCAATAGATTAGTGTATGGATGGTATAATCAAAGTTAAAAACTTAATTAGAGACTTAACATAACCCAACTCTGAGCCAATAAAACCAAAGAACTTTTGAAACAAAAAAATAATTTACCTTTAATCTGTCTTTTGATAAATGCTACTCCAATTTCAACAAATAAAGGATCAGAAGGATCAAGAAGATAAGTGCAGCACCATCGTGGATTACCATTAACAGTATTCCTGTATTTAAGGAGTAAAAGCTTCCAACATTAAGTACATGTGAGCAAACAATTTGCACATGAAAGAGAATTTTGAATATGTACTTCCAAGTGTCCAACATGAAATAAAACTTTCAACCTCACATGCCGAGAACACAATCGTACTCATATATCAAGAAAACTATGGAACAATTATCCTCATTACTTGGAGAAGTTCTAACAAGCTCTTTGTCCTGATTTACATGTTAGCTTCTCCTCATAACAGAATAGATAAAATTTTGTCATTCACTTTCATTGTGCTCATGAAGTGATGCTACTCTTTCCAAGATTTGCAATTCTATGAGAAAATTCGTCTCGCTTTTTCTCTGACTCTTGCATATAGGAACTTCTCAGCTGCTATTGCAACTCAAGAGAATTAAAACAATGTATATCCAAATCTCACTTTTTTATTTTTTACTAGTTCTTTGCATGTATACCACACATTTTCTCTTATGGTATTCCAAGAAATTCAAAAGATTTTCTCTAGATATTAGAGTTGTCATCTTATGAGATCTTAATGATCGAGTTAAGAAAACAATACTGCTTACTGAATACAATTTTATTTTTCTCATATATAATGAAGCAACAGAAAGATATCTGCATGTGAAAATTTATTAACAGAAAAATTTCACAGAGTGGAAACCTTTTATTCATTTGACCAGTACCTTCTTTCGCATTCAAATGTCAACATCCACAATTTAATCGTGCAGAATCTCTCTTTAATACTTAGTTTTTGTGTAATGAAGCAGTAAAAAGAAGAAATCAAGGCATCTGAATGTGAGTTGTGACATACAAAATATTTCCGTTTTTCCTCGACACCTTTCAAGGGAGAGAGACTCCGAAAGAAAATATAAGCATAAATCATAATGAAGACAGTGAAATGGATCAATGAAATCTAGCAATATAAAGAGAAAAAATAAAGAGAGAGAAAAAGGTACCAGTCCCCAAGTCTGCTTATGTTTGCCATTGGGAAAATAGCTTTCATGGCAGCTGGAACATTCCCAGAAAATGCTGGAAGAACTACCAAAAATATATACATATATATAGTTGATAAGTGTTTATTGAAGTGATGAGAAAAAAGGCAAAATATGATCTGCGAAATAATAATAAAAAAAAAAAAAAAAAAAAAAAAAAAAAAAAAAAAAAAAAAAGTAAAGATCATGGGACTCCATACACATACAGAAAGATCAGAAGAAACCAAAAAAAAAAAGAAATCATGTAAGAATCTGGACGATGTACCTGGAGTCATCCCAAGCTGTACCATTCGGGACAGTATTTGTTTTTGCAACTGCAATTGTTTATCTAACCAATTCTGGGTCAATGGCCCACCCCATCTGCAATGTAAGAAGATATCAGAATTTAGAAGTAAGGTTTTGGAACAGTCTGGGAAATGGTTCAAACCGAATACTGACAAGAAAAGGCCTTTTCTCCAGTAATGTCAGCTGATATATGCTGCCATTTATTTTTCTTTGAAAATTATCCTCAGCTTATATTCAGAAGCACCAATTATCAATATCTAAACGTATAACATTAATGCAGGATAGAAACATAAATGGAAGAAGAGATGTTGCAAACCCATGTAAGTTTCCCATACGTGCCCAAGCAAGAAAGGCAGGTCCACCAAAGAAATCATTTAGTTCCTGCTGAGTAATATTAAACTCCTGCAACAGGAAAATGAGAATCAGAAGTAGGGAAATAATTTTCTTGAAAAGTTTGAGGAACTATCCAGGCATGCATTGGCATGCTCATGAAGTAGACAAACAAAACAAAAAGATAGTCAAAAGATATAACAAACATACTGCAAAAACTTTTTGCCAAATTGCTTCTTGTCCTGTGAACGCTAATGGCAGATTTACTCCCTGAAGTGCCATCCAATCAATCTCTTTTTCCCATCTTTCCCAGTCCCACCAAACATAGGAATCTGCAAATGAACAATGGAAGTCTGTTGAGTTGTAATAGAAGCAGAAACTGTTGATAATTAAAATTAAAAAACGTGTTCCATATCTCCCAACCAATCGGGATGCGCTCAGTTTAAATTTTTTAAAAAAAAAAAGTCAAAGAAATTTGGTACAGTTATATTTACATATTGATAGAAATGACATTTATATATGATTTTTTTTAATCTTAAATTTATGGAAACATGAAATTTGAATGTGATTTAACAAGAAAAATATGACAAGCAAGAAGTTATAAAGAATGATTGTACCTTATCAAATGTACAATAAATATATTGTTTTCAGCGAGTCATGTGTTCTAAAACTACCAATATGGACCCATATACTCAACTGTCGGTCATTCCCCACATGATATAGAACTTACCAATAAGAAGGACCTATCGATTAGTTTCTTTACTGAAGTGGACTTTGACGGGAACAAGTTTAGAGCACAATTTCTCGTAGACTATGTCTTTGCCTATGAATACCACTATTAAGACACCCAAAACTGAAACCTATATTTTATAGTCCAACAAATAGCAAAATATTAATCTCTGTAGTATTGTTTTACCATGTGAAACTTTTAAAAACTTAGCAAGTCGAATAAGGAAAATAAAACATCAAATTTCAAATACTTGAAAATCCAGAAGAGACAAAAGGTCATTACTATCATAAGAGTGGTTCAACAGGGGAAACGAATTAGCTCAATGCAAACGAAGGAAGGTAATATCAGTGAACTTATAATAACTAAGTCTCCATACTGATACTAAGAGAACAGCCGAAATGAATCGAGACTGTAACTCAATGTAGTACAGAATCTGAATGCATCTACATAACGGAGACATATAAATCAACAAACCTCAGGATTTCAGAGAGAAGAGCACTGAGAAGAAGTGGAAGGGACTAAAAAAAATCTTACAGCTAGACGTGACGACATTTTGATAATAGTTCCATGGTACTGGACGTTGAATCATCACGTCCTCATCATTCACTGGAGGGAGTGATCCAGGCTCGGGAACAGTACTGAGTTGGGCACCACCCGTCTTGTCCCACGAAACATGAGCTCCACATGAGTACTTTAGATACCAGTGTAGTCCTGATGTGATGTCAACTGCTGTGGTTCCTTTTATCCTAGGTAAGGTGGAAACAAATATGGAAGTTTCAGAATCATGAAAGTAGAGCCGTTTTCATATTCCCGCAGGATACAAGAAAATCATATACCCTTTTAGAGAAATAAAAACTGAATAAATTTTTTATGTGATGACCATTTAGCTTGGTTTTTGTCCATTGCAAATGGAGTTGGAAGAGTCATTGTTGACAATTCTCCTGACATAGTGCTAATAATGGACTAGATCAAAATGGCTCAATTAAATTCTAGTGCTTCTTCTATTAGTGAAGTTTCTAGAAAAAAAAATATATATATCAAACGACGCAATGCACTTTGGGTCGCTACGGAAACAACCTCCTTGTATAATTACAAGGGTAAGGTGTGCGTAAAACTGACCCCCCATACCCCAACCAGTTGGGAATATACTGGGTAAGTTGTTGTTGTTGTTGACCATTTAACTTGGTTAATATAGCTTAACCAAGAAGGGTATGGCAGACAAGTAGTATTCTATAATTTCATCATTTTACTTTTGTTGCAACTATATAGTCCCATCGAGCAAATAATAGAACTCCAACATTCCAGAAAAATTTCCACAACAACATATATATATAGCCAAAGGCAGCCTCTTCACTCATTCCTAATAGTTTTTACTTGAGCTCTTCAGAGCAAATGACTATCATGTTTAGTCTCCCATCGAAAATTAGTAAAATCTCTGTTAGTATGAAAATGGTGTTTTGAAGAGATTAAAGTAGTGCGTTTGGCCCTTTTCCATAGTTTGAGGCTTAGATTTGATAGTTCACTTATCAAAAGCTAAGTTCAATAGGAGTGAGATGAACAATATGCTACTTTTACAAATTGGTTCATCCTCGTTAGAAACTTCGAAATAATATTTTCCAATCCACATAAAGGTGCATGTCAGAAGCTTCCCATGCCAAATAAGTACCTATCAAGATGTCAAAAACGTATATAACCGAAGTACTGACTTTTTTCTTAGAAATTACAACAATAATCAAATTGTACCCACATTATTTCAGTCGAGTCTCTACTTGAACTCTTGTAATTGCTGATTTGAAAGCAGCTTCTTCCACCGCAAACATCCTAATATTTGGAACAGTCAGAGCTCACTTAAAACATAGTGCCAATTAATAGTAGGAAAAGAAAATCGCCGATTGAAGTAAGGAAAACACCAAATAGGGATGGATTATTGCAATTTCAGAGCAAAACTGAATCAGATCATCTCATAGTGATCTTAAGTTGGCTGAATTGAAATGATAAGAAACAGCGAACCGTGGAAAAACTAAAATAATTAAGGACGAAGAAAATGGCGTTACGACTCAACAGAAACAATCAACAATCTCAAATTCACAGACAAATAATATGTCGAATGCCAATAATCTTACACAGTAATTTCACTGTACTCTCCAAGAAACCAACTAATTGTATCTTAAAGCATAGACAAAGAACAAAAATTGATCACTTGAAGAAGCTGAACTGTGATAACACCTTTGATATAATCTTGAATTTGAAGCTGGACAAATGGGTTGGGAGTAGCCTCCGAAGAACACCCATCGCCGCAGATTCTTGTTGGGGAGGTGACGGTTTCTTGGCATCTAGACGGTGCAGTAGAGTTTCGACAGCTTCTGATTCTTGAACTGAAAATGAAGAACACTTGGATAATAGCAGCAGTGAAAATGTCATGAATAATAATTCTGGTTTGGATTTCATGTTTAGGAATGTAAACTGCAAAATCTTGTTCTTCGGGGCTAGTGATCATTTGGAGCTGAGTTCCTTCTTTCACTCTTTTTTTCGCCCTTTGGATAGCTAGTGTGTACCTGTCATGAACAATATTAAATTAACAAAATTAACAAAATTATAAATAGACTTTGATCTAAAGATTCAATTTTCTCCTCCAAGCAACACAAGCACAATATTAATTTTCACAAAAGCAAACAAAGATATACGAAGTAAAGGGTTGTTTTGCATTAGATAGTGTGGGTCGTCATCGGGCGAACCGAAAATCATGCTATCAGTTACTCGCGAAACAAGAATAAGTGGTTCACAATCCAGATGGACATGAACACCCTATCTTGAATGGTTGTAGTGTCAACTGTACAATTTATCTTGACTGATTAGTTGCACTAGTATATTTATGTATTGAACAGGATCCCAGAGAGGAGCATTTTGTTTTATACTGATCGTCGAAAACGAACTAGGTCTCACTCAATAGCAGAAGTGAAAATTACTATTGATTCTATTTAAAAAGAGGAAGAAAAACAATAATTATAAATTAAAGAAAAGAATAGACAATACTTATAATTCTAAATTAAAAATTTAAGGTCAAATAATGTAAAATTATTTTGTATAGGAGAAAATTTACATTATCTTGTATAAGAGAATGTAAAATTTGTATGTTTAGTATTAAAAATACCTAAAATATTATATTAGTATATGTATTCAAAATTTTCTATATTATTTTTTAAAAAGGTGAAATCACCTACAACTTTTCTAAACAATTTTAGAAGGAAAACATATCTAAAACCATTTGAATTTAACATTGTGTAAAAAAAAATCTACCCTATTTTGTAAATAAAACATGTCTACAAATAATTAAATTTAACATCATGTATATATGTGTATATATATATATATATGTATATATAGATAAATATGTAAAAAAAAATCTAAACAATTTGTTTAAAGTATCTAAAATATTATAAGTCTAATGTAATAAAGACATTACGTCAGATGATAGTTCATGATACCGAATTTATGGGCGTTACTTTTATCTAAAAAAATTTGATTACACACAATTTCAAATTTATTATTAAACTTTTTACATTGTTATGGAGGATGTATTGTTAGCTTATAATATTTGTAAAATTATTATTATACTTCTACGTTGTTGTATGTATTGCCAGCTTATAATATTTGTAAAAATATTAGTAATTAGACCGATGAAAATAAATTTTATAAAGTAGATAATGGATTTATCGTAGTAATTATGAATTGGTTTTTATTTTATTTTATTGCTTTTTAAAGTAGATAATTTATTTATAGCATAGTTTTTAAACCCGGCCCGAGAAAATCGACCAGGGCAAGTCTCCGGGTCTCCGGGTCACCGGTTCAACCGCCGGGTCAATGGGTCAATTGCTAAACCGGATAATTAATTTTAATTTTTTTTAACTTATATATATAGTATTTTGTCATATAAATATACATAAAAGTAACAAAATTAAATGCTTTGTGTATACAATTTTTACATTAAAGTTTTAATAATATGTATTTCATGATAAATATTTACCATATAAATATATATACATAGTTTTATTTTTTAAAAACAAAAAATATTTTAAAAATAAAAAGAAATAATAATAAATATATAGGGACCGGGTCAATGCCCCGGGTCAATCGGGTCAAGACCGGGTTGGCGAGTTTTGACCAAGTTTAACCGGGTCCTTTGTTGCCCGGTCCAATTAGCCCACTCGGACCGGTTCCGGCTCTGGGTCGAACGGTCTGGGTTGAAAAACACTGATTTCTAGTAGTAATTATGAATTGGTTTTTATTTTATTTTATTTTTAAATTTGTATAGATAATGGATGAGATTTTTTAAACTCGTGAGACATATGCAATGGGTTTGTAACAGATAAGAAATAAACTTGTGTAGATTTATACTATGAGATTTTATAAGATACCAATTGATTTTTAAACTTACCGAGTTTTTTGTTCAGATTGTGTGAAATTAATGTTGCACGCGTGAATTCAGGAAACAAAGTAATAATTGCTAGTAATATAAAGTAATTAATGCTAACAAAGTTTGACTAAAAATTTGACTTTCCATTTTTTAAAAAAAAATGTTATTCTTTTTATATAAATATAGATAGATATATATAATATATAATATAAAAAAAGGCTAGAGTTTGGCTTATTTACAAAATAATTCCTCCAAAATGAGTTATTGTGGTTAAATACAGTTAATTTTGAAAAATGCACTATGGTTAGTTGTTGGTAATATTTTGAAAATGTATTCATATAATACTTAAAACAAAATGATTAAAATTGATCTGAAGTAAAAGTAGGAGATAAATGATTGAAGATTACAGGTAGTTAAAATTATGTGAGTGGGTGAATAGTAAATTAAAGTTGATAGAAAAAGTGATATATATCCCTACAAATAAAAATTAAATTTATATACCAAACCAAATTAAAAAATATCAAATAAATTATAAATCATCTTATAAAGTAATACAAATTTATTTGGATTAATATACAACAAAAAGTTCTTTTATTTTTTAGAAAAAAGTTTACAAACTAAGTATGAACATAAAATTAATATAAAAATATTCTAAATACTTATGTTTCAATTTAAATGAAGACTACAAAGAAATTAAACATTACAATGATATTTAAAACTTAAAAACAAAGTCTGACTGAATATTATAACTAAAAGAATAATAATTTTTATTATATTTCATAAAATTTAAGAATGTTACATTCATACTAATTGTGAGACAACTCACTTTGGGTTCCTACAAAACCAAATAGAACACGGAGTTGATTAGCAACAAAAATTGATAACAAAATACAATAAAAAATGCTAACAAAATACAACAAAAAAATGATAACAAAACCCTGATTTAGAAAAAAATACACTAACCATAGCTAGGAGTAGGAAGATACTCAAGCTCTGTTTGCTGCAATTTCATTTTGGCAGTTGGGGACTTCAAATCCTATAACAACGTTTTCGATCAAACTGAGATCGTCCACTTCATATTCCTTGGTGGATTTACATTTATCTTTCATTTGTGGTTCAGATTGTTGTTTCACTAGTTGAAATTGAGAAGTCTCCTTCACTGATTGTGATTTCTCCTTCAATGGGTTCGGATTGGTGCTTCACTGGTTGAGATTGAGGAGTCTCCTCACCGATTGCGATTTATCCTTCACTGGTTCAAATTTCTCCTTCAATTGAGAAATATCATTTGCTAATTTAGACTTATCCTTAAATGATTTCACTTTTTTCCTCACCATCTTGAAACAATTTTGATTTTGTTGAATGTCGGGAAATTGAGAGTCGAAGATTTAGGTTTCTTCGCACCCTTTGACGTTTTAGGTTTTTAGGAATTGAGAATAAATTTGTCGATTTAGGTTGCAAATTTGGGGCCAAAAATCTCACAAGTTTCGGGCCTTGTCTAATCCCACAACATAAATCATAGTCACTCCACATCAGATGAAAAATTAGCCACATCGCTCGACGTTAATTTTTTATCCTAGGTGCGGATAAAAATGAATCATTACTGATGAAATTGGACAAATTATTGGACTCAAATTGAAAGTGGTCAATGACAAAATGAATTTTTGGACTTCAACTAAATTTTATAAAATCAATTTTGAAATTTGACCCATTAAAAAATTATATGTAGGGTGGTAAGATATATAATTAATAGTATGATTTTCAAAATTGTACCGGACCGGCCGGTTCGGCCGGTTCAACTGAGAACCGGCCAGTAAACCGGTTCGGGTTGATGTATAAAACCGATGTCAAACCACCTGAACCGGTTCAAAACCGAAAAACTGGAATCGGTTCATCCGAACAAACAACTTCAAGAAGTGATGCTTTTGTTAGCCAATGTCATCGGTTAAAAAGCAAGCTCTCTTTCTTTGTTTTTCCACGTGTGAGCTTTTGTCTTGTGCAATGCTTTATTAATTGTTTTTGCCTTTTGCCTTTAAAAACCCAAGACTGTTATTAGTTTGGCACGAACATAAACTTATTTGTGTTGTAGATATTAATTTGTGGACATTACCTAGATATAGGATTTGTAGATATGGGCCAGGAGCCCATTAGGTCTTTACTCATGTACATTGTATTCCCTTATATATATAGCTCAAGTGAATGAATAAGAGTATGACTTTACGACGTATCTCTTCTCTCTGTTTCTCTTCTACTACTTTCTCTCTTTGTCTATCTTGTCTATCTTACATATTGACAATCTAGATTACAACACGTTATCAGCACGAGTACTCTACCATCTAAGCTTACAACATTGACATCAAGACAAACGGGCAATCAAAGTACCAATCAAGAATAGATGTATGCCTTAGAAAAGAATCGTGTCTTTTTTTGTCAAGGTAACATTCAAGATCTATTCAAAATAATGATCTATTAGTTTAATGTGGCTAAATTTTGGTGAATTATTCTGCCATGGATTTGATTGGTCCTTTTTTTTCGGTTCATGTGGCTAAATTTTGGTGAAATTATTTAGTCATAGATTTGATTGATTCGCTTATGTTATTGCCTGTAATTTTCAATCATAGTCGGTTGTTGATATTGATTTATCAGTACTCTTTTTGTTTCGTATTATATAAATCAGTCAGGAATAATAAAAAAATACAGATTAATTCATTCAATCTTTGTATGTGCCATTTTTATGCTCTCAGATAATCATTATATTGCTTGAAGCAATTACTTGGAATTATTTGGGCCCAGTAATTCCATTCTCTTACATGTTGCTTCAATTAATTACATGAAATCATGTGGGCCCCATTAATTCGATTTTTCTTGCTATTCGTGGGGATCCGAATTGTTATGTTGTGGTTCTTGTTTATTTAACAAGTCTAACTCTCAAGAAATTCAATTCAAGGCATCTTATTTTGAATGTCTTATAGCACCTCTGTTGGGATTATTTGGAGTGACCATACTCATGAATTTGTGCTGTCAAATATTTGTGATA